TGATTCATGGTCTTCAAGCAGAATAAGGCTATCCGCGAATGGGTACACTGGTGCTGGCTCCGAACATGTAAACAGAACTAAGCAGAACTGTGAACGTGTAGCGCGGACGACATTGCTGCATGCTAAAGCCAAAACGATGTCCCTTCGGTGCCGTCCGACTCACTGAAACTGGAGGGCGTGGCGCTCATGCACATGGTGGAAGTCAAGCTCTGCGTGGCCACATCATCAAGATCTGCTGCCTTGGGGATGGGCAGAGTGACGTGCTCCAAGCTCAACGAGATCTCGCTGAAACTTGATCGCCGGGAGTCTCCGTCCACGGGCAACTTCACTCTGGCACCAAAGCCATGATCCCCACGACCTGCCGTCATGCCCAAGTGCTCGAGTCCGGGCGGTGGGCGCAGACAGCGTAGCGATCCCATTGAAGGCAGGGGCGGGGACAACAAGTTGCCCGGTTGCGGCGTGTTGATGCTTGTGGGAGCCAACATTGCCCCGCTGAGATCCGCAAGCAGATTCTGCTGCTGGAGCATGGGCGAGGGCGTACCTTTGGTTTTCCCACTCTTCTTGTTTTCCACCGAATGCACGAACCTGCACGCCTGCCCACGCACGCAAGAGCCGGTCTTGGAGAACTCGAAGCAAGGCTTTGGGCTCGGGCGCAACTCGGACGTGTCGTGGGCAAAGGAGCAGTCCGCCCCCATCTTGCATTCGTTCGTCCGCCAGAACTTGCACATGCGAGTGAACTGCACGGCTTTCTTCTGCTCGGCTTTGGTCATGCTGGCGTGGCGACTGCAAGAAGGGCGACCTCCCAGCTACAGGGTAACTGAACGGTCCGTGTGGCTTCAATGTGCGAGCAAAAAGCACTTCACATGGACTAGCTGACGCAGCAATTTTAGGCAATTTTTGTCTACTTGACTGGCCTGCTACTAATGCTACTAGATGCTACTAGAATCACTAGAAGACCTTCCTCGATGACCTGAAGCTCTGATAAACTGACACTTCATTACCGGTGCGAAAGAACCAGGCAGATGCCGGGTGCATTATGGCTTGAAGCCGGTTCTCCCCGGGCATATGCATCGGAGCTTGCAGCGGCTTCTAGAACTCGGCGCTCTGCAACGGAGAACACTAGAGCTGCTTCGACAACTAACAATTAAACGAGACAGTACCAAATCGGAAGCTCCGCACAAGGTGTAATTAATGTCTCCGGCGGAATCTTGCTTCACCAAATACTTTTTCGGGCAACTGAGGTCTATATGTGCACAAGGGACAACTCACAACAGAAGCAGATGTGATGATGGGGTAGCGCGGGATTGCTGGCCACTGCCGGTCTGTCATGTGTGACCAGCCTAACTTTGCAGCGTGAATTCTGACCGCATGATGCCTCCGGTTTTGCTTTTCGAGCACATCTCTGAGTCTGTTTGCACAGTTTCCAGCTCGGTCTCCACCAAATGATAGGCACGCCGCCTCTACAGCCATGGAAGTGCGACCACCCTGATCATGATATTGCGTGTATCAGAAAGTGCATGACAGGCTTTCAGACAGGCCGATGCCGCACGTCCACAGGCTCTCTTCGAGCAACAATTGCCCGAATAGAAAACTATCTGCTAAAGAGGGAAAAAACACCTCCTGACTCTGCAGCAAGATGTGGCAAGTGCCAGGACCGTGAAACCATCAATTGCGCGATTTCAGCGCATGGTTCTGGACTTGTGCAATACGGTCTTGTGAGCTCGTGGGTATGAGGACGGACACGTGCAGCTGCCAGCATGATATTGAATTTGCTACAATTGGCACACAAGCTGCCGGAGCTTTCCCGACGCTGTCACAAGTCTGTCTCCCTTCAAGCTCACCTACACAGTCAGGTGCATTATCGACAAGGCATGACAAAGCTAAAGACTTCAACGGGAACGAGTGGCACAGAAGCAATTTGATCCGATCTGTGCCTTCCACTCGCCTCTCACATCACTCATGCCTCCCACGAACGGATTGCAGAAAGCAGCGTCTCGAGGATATCTACGAGCTACAACACATTGACATACGTCAGTCTAACGATATTCTAGCTCAGCTTCCGGGCTCCGTGGACACTATGCCGACCGCTTGTCAGTACAATCCCAGAGGCTCCTCAAACAAACCAACTGCAAGGCGAAGCCTCAAAGCCAGACTGCTGGCCCTCAAGTGAAACCGCTGGAGGAGCAGTGCTCAAGCACATGGTTGGCGGCAGGTTCTTTGCAGTGGTTGCATGAATCGCTCCCAACATCTCTTCAAGGCCAGCCGCGTTGTCTGACTTGGGTAAAACCAAATGGGCAGACTCCAAGACAAAGGAGATCTCACTGGGACTGGGGAGCCGAGCCTCTGCATCTGCCTTCATCCCGAGACCGGCCATGCCAAGGTCTTCGAGTCCAGGTGGTGGGCGCAGGCCGGGGCCGGGGATGGACCCCAGGCTTGGCTGAAGGAGCGGGGACAGCAAGTGGCGCTGCGTCTTCGTGTATCTGGAAGCCAATGACATCGGCCCGATGCTGGCACCTGCAATCAACAGCTGCCGTGTGGTCTGCTGATGCATGGCCGTAGGCACCCCTGTGACTTGTGCGGGCTTCATCAGGTTGTCCAGGGAATGCACGAACCTGCACGCCTGCCCACGCACGCAAGAGCCGGTCTTGGAGAACTCGAAGCACGGCTTTGGGCTCGGGCGCAACTTGGACGTGTCGTGGGCAAAGGAGCAGTCCGCCCCCATCTTGCATTCGTTCGTCCGCCAGAACTTGCACATGCGCGTGAACTGCACGGCTTTCTTCTGCTCGGCTTTCTTCATGTGCGTTGTGTGGGGACAGAGAGGTGACGAAGTCGGATTTGTCAGGCGCAGGCTCCGCTATGGCAGAAGCGGCTTGAGGCAATAACAAACTTAAACTGCACATGTTGCCATGCACTGTTACATCATTACGTGCCGACAGCCTTGCTGTGTCTCGCGCTCTTTCTCGCTATCCCGCTCACCCCCCTCTCCGTAGCCTACGTCACCGATCAAAGGAAACACGAAAGTCGCTGTCCCAAAGTGAGAATCAGATTACTGTCAACTGGCACAAGACCAGCATATCTCTGCCGGAGGCCAACAGGGCGAGGTGCCTCACTTGCATCCCACTCTGGTACTGGTCGGCGCCGTAGTGGCCTGGCCACATCACAGATCTCAACGCTGCGTGTTCTTCAAGTGTCGGAGAGCATGCGCTCGCCCCAGCAATATAATTTGAGAGAGTGCTCCATCATACGTCGTACTTCCAGGCTGCAATATGAGAATGCTGCTGTACAGCGCTCCAAACCAAATTTGAAGCCCGCTTCTGCAGCTGCAGTATGCTTCTATAGGACAGTGCGCCGCAATGACTCGGGTGGCCCAAACAAACGCCGAAGAGCAGTGCTGTCAGCGGCTTTCTATCCAGAATCCGGCCGGCGAACAGCTTCTGTTTTCACTTAGGTTCCCAAACGGTTCTTGCGTTCCTTTCTGCGAGTGGCCGCGACAGGCTTTGCGTGATTCAACGACGAACAACAGAAAGCACAACTGTCGTTTGTTGAAGCCGCCTGCCCTTTGGAAGCTCGAACTGATGGCTGTGCTGGAACGCAAAAAGCACAGGGAAGATAGAATGGGAAGCTCAGTCGAAGGCTTGCAGGAAGTGGATAACAGAACAAAAGTAAGTAGACATGGACAAAGCCCATGTTTTGCGTCCTCTTGCAAGTCCGGACATCGATTTTTGTTGATGATTGCGACTGCCACTGATCTCCCCTCGTAGTTGCAACGATGTCTCCAAGGATTTCGACTGCATCCTTGCTTGCCAGACAGGACTCAACTCGTTGATTTCACATATACGACGCATACTATTGCATATTTCCTCCGCTTTGCCAGGGCAACTACGCATGGTGAGTAACCGAGGTGCTGAGGATGCAGAGGGCGAAGACTATGCATTCTGTATGGCCGTCCCAGCGCCTCCCGGACCCTGCATGCTTCGGAGGATCCGACCTACCAGCCGAGGGGCCACTGAAGCATCTGAAAGTGCTCGGGAAGACTGAAAGCCGACAAGCAACAATGCTTCACTTTCTTCTCGAACGTACAATCAAAAGAGCTTCGCAAGTTGTCTAAGCAGGTGCGCTAGGTAACTGGCTTTAAGGCTTGCTTCGACTGGCCAATCGGGATCGGGACGTCTCATTTCTTGCGAAGATATGCACTTCGGGGGGGGAGTCTAGACCCGAGAAAGTCCGCACCCTCGCAAAAGCGCGTGGAAGGTCCGATGCGTTTCGCACGCAGGGCAGCTGCAGTCCTTGATGAAGGATGCGGTGTGATGTTGCTTTTCCGTTTCGCAGTCTCACAATCGATCTCATACAGTATGGCCTCTCATGTTCAGTGGCACTGTCCTCACTGTGTGCTCCAGATGGTGCAGCAGCGCCAGCAGCGCCCGGGAGCATGGTCCGGTCGGCAGCATAGCCATCCCTAGCCACCGCGTGCAATTAACACGCATTGAACTATCACTTTGAGAACAGCCTTGTCCAACAACAGCATACATGCACCGGATGCATGAAAATGCCACAATACGGCCTGCCTCGTACGAGACAGCCAGGGAGAGAATCCAGCGAGGTGTGGTGTGAATGTCTCACTTCAACCCGTTTTGATTTTGCTGGATCAAGACCCGACCTATACACTAGCGGTGGCTAATACAGCAATCGGAACGAAAGAAGTTGACGGTCCGAAAGCAGAAGGCTCACCTAGTCGCGCGGCCCAGGAAAGAGCATGCTTCGCTTCATGCTGCGCGCAATGATCCCTCAACAAATCTGCGCTTGCGGTGGCTCCTTGCGTTTGCTGCTGGTGCCGCTGGCGCCTTGCTGCAGTCGAGTCTGGAATTTGATTGCCTAACCTGTCTCCTCGGAACTGTCGAAGAAGACTCTCACCCTCTCTCCCATGCCTGGTAAGGCGGCCTCTGCGAGCGCATGGAGGCTCAAGCTCAACTCCTAATTTTCCATCTCTACTCTACTCATCATCCGCTTGCAATCTGCAGGAGTTGTCACTCGCGCATATGCGTGGTTCCCAGGGTTGCTCCAACATCATGATGGCGCAGGCCTCTGTACATCTCATGATGTTCCTTTGCTCAGCTTTCCGGAAGTAGTGCCAGCACACTAGGTGCAGTCATTCATGATGCTTTCTTCGAAGACTAAGCTGCCGTAGCCTTGACCCAACTCACGACCATGGCATGACTGTACGGCGAAGACAAGACAAGCATCCCAGTAGTACAGCTGGTCGACTTGGTCGTGGCGGGAAAACGTCATGATGTTGACGATGATCATGCTGCTGCTGGTGGTGTGGTGACCATGCCGCGATCCAACTGCTAGTGCCCGAGAGCCTCAACAGCCCTTCCTACCCGCTTAGCGACCTAATCACCTGCCTATGGTTTGTCGCTATATCGGATACTCTGTCCATATAGGTGTTCATAATGTTTGGCTACCTCGATGACGAACAATGAGTACCGGCGTCTTCGCATGCCAATTACTCGGATATCATGTGGCCGGAAGTGTGGCTGTGGAGGCTTCAGGCTGGGGGCTGCCACATGGAAGATCGACGGGGTACATGCTGGCGTCTACCTTTTTGAGTCCATGATGTAGTTTAGCTATCATCCCAGACGTTGCGTTGCTGCGGTGCAGCGTGGCACAAATTGACGCTGATTTGGTCCTTCATGACAACTCTCCGTCTAACTTAAGCATTGACATGCTTAACCTTTGCTGTTGATATCCCTATCCTTTAGCTGCACAAGAGATGCAGATGACAGTGGCGGTGGTGGTGGTGGTGGTGATAATCTGGCCAGCTCGGTTGTCAAGCCGCTGAGCTGATAGTGGCCCCAGGCTTCTTAAAAACTTCAGGCATTAAGTCACGATCTTCTCCACACTGTCCAAGCTCATGTCTACAGCATACAACTGCTTCCTGGCCTTCTTGCCTCGTCGGGTAACTGTTACTTGCTGTGAAGCAGTGCGATGCCCTTAAATCAAACGGCCTAGTCTTGCGTGCTAAATCTGCTACCATGGCGTCACGCCCTTACACCACAGAGTTCCCTTGCTAAACCGACCTCCGTCTGTTCCTCATAGTGCTACTCGGTCGTAGGCAGCTTGTCGACACGAACCATCGTGGAATCATTGCCTCAAGCCTGTCTCGTTTCCTTTTCGTGCACCGGCAAGTCTCCTGCAGGAATGAGTTGCTTCTCATCTGCTGTCTGGCTTGCCTGCAAAGCGACAGATTCTGTGGCACCCAGATCGTTGACGATAGCCACATGACCGCGTCGCAGCACGCTGAGCTACTGCATGATGGATAAGGGACATGAATCTCAGCACCCTGCCTAGTCTGAAGGTACTCTGCTGAACTTTGTCAGGTAGGTCATGATGGTCTTCCAAGTCCTGACCGGAAACACGGCTCTCACTCCTTCCTCGAGGCAGGTGCCTGCACAGCTGCACTGCAGCATCAGGGGGGACAGGGGGGATTCAGGGATCACAGCCAATGCATGCTGCAGTGCAGACACGGCGGCTGTGCCGTACTTTCACTGGCTTGCCGCTTGCTCTTCAAAACTAAAAACGGCTATTGGAGACAGATGTCGGGTCCAAGAGGGTGTCTGCCTTGATGTCTATCTAAACGCTCCTTCTGCGAAATTTCCATGTACTTGATCGCCTGACCGTTTTTAACCGGTCCTCGGTTCGAATTTCAGGCGTCTCGTGCTATCTCATGCTCTCTTCCCTGACAGCTTTCTGGCCCTACCCTACCCTGGCAGTCAGAATGAATCCGTTACTCCAAGCTCTGAGGTCTTCACTGGTGTACAAGTACCTCGGCTTCGAAATTGAAGGCAAGCTAATTCTCCTACAATTGCTCTACAGTTTGTCCTTGGGATTGTGAGCTGCAGATTGTGTTCCATCCTGCAACAGACTGCCATAATCTTTGGTGTTCGTCCTGTCAAGTCTGCGGTCAGGCTGCAAGGACAGGAGCACCAGCGAAGTGCCGGCAGTGAATGTTGCAGAGGGCTGCAGGTCGAACAAGTACACAGAGGCCACACATGTCAAAATAATTGAAATCGCCTTGGTTGCGACGATTGAGTAACCTTTGGCCAACTGAAGGAAGTCACTTAGTGATACTGCCACGTTCAATCTCTCTCTTTCTTTCCACAGGGTTGTGGTGCAGGGGAGCAAGCCCCCCTACACCGCGCGCAGCTCAATCTCTCTCTCTCTCTCTTCTTCTTCTTCTTCTCCGG